GAAGCTGAGGTGGGTGGATCACTTGAGGTCAGGAGTTCAAGACCAGCCTGGCCAACATCTTGAACCCCTGTCTCTGCTAAAAATACAAAAATTAGCCAGGTGTGGTGGAGGGCGCCTGTAATCCCAGCTACTTGGGAGGCTGAAGCAGAAGAATTGCTTGAACCTGGGAGGCGGAGGTTGCAGTGAGTAGGGATTGTGCCACTGCACTCCAGCCTGGGCAAAAGAAATCGGGAAGTATATAGAAGTCCTGTAATGGCAATGAATAGCTAATCTTCATGAATACTTACTATTTTCCCAGTACTGTATAAAGGGTATGTGCATTATCTTATTTGGCCCTACTTGGAAGTAGGTAGTGTTATGCCCTCCGTTTTGCAGATGAAGAAAATAAGGTGCTACATAAACTGTGGGGAGAGATTAATGTAAGATTATTGTCAAGAAAGAGTTAAAGAAGGGGGTAAGATTTGAGTTAATCAAGGGGCTTTTCCTGCAAGAAGTTCTTTTTACTATATTCCTTCAATGCTTTATATTCTTTCTCTGCCATGACACTTAAGTATTTCCTATCCTTTTGTGTGGTTTTTTCATTTGTCTGTTTTGAGACGGGTCTTGCCCAGTTGCCCAGGCTGAAACAGTAGCATAATCTCTGCTCACTGCAACCTCCACCTCCCAGGTTCAAGCAATTCTCCTGCCTCAACCTTTTGAGTAGCTGGGATTACAGGTGCCTGCCACCATGCCCAGCTAATTTTTGTATTTTTAGTACAGATGGGGTTTCACCATGTTGGCCAGGCTGGTCTTGAACTCCCGACTCAGGTGATCTGCCCGCCTCGGCCTCCCAAAGTGTTGGGATTACAGGCGTGAGCCACCACGCCCAGCCCTTTTTTGTGAGTTTTTGTTAAACATTTAGAATTTTTTGTTTTGTTTTGTTTTACCACTTTCTGTGACTCAACCTGTGGTGGAATTTAGCCACCACAAACGTGGCAGCATAATACCCTATATAATACAACAGTGTAGGCTTTGGAATGCTTGGTAGGCAGCCATGTGACCTTGAACAAAATCTGGCAACCATAGTTTCCTCACCTGTAATAGGTGTTCTCTCAGTACTTAAACTTTCCCCTCATAATTTCCCTCTCTGTCATGACTGCCTCTGTTAATTCAGTCTCCAAGAATATTTTAAAATGCCTTCGAGGACCATGGCAGACATTGCTAATCAGACATGGCATTCTCTGCCACTGAGCCTGGATCTGGATATGAAGTCTGTTTGCCATCTCTTTATTACAGTTGTCAGGCATCATCAGTATCATCAGTTCTGCTTTTATTCTTCCTTCACTCTCTACATGATAATCCAGGACCTCATCGTCTGAGTCCATACTTTTTCAATTTTCTGTTCCAGGTCTAGAGTTGCACTGTTCAATATAGTAGCCACTAAGCCATTTCAAAGACTTAATAGCCTTAAAAGAACATAAAATATCTCAATTTTTATAATGATTACATGTTGAAATAGTTCTTAAAATATTATATATATATATTTTTGAGACAGGGCCTTGCTCTGTCACCAGGCTGGAGTGCAGTGACATGATATGGCTCACTGCAGCCTCGACTCCCTGGGCTCAGTTGATCTCCCACCTCAGCCTCCTGAGTAGCTGGGACTACAGGTGTATGCTATGCCCAGCTGTTTTTTTGGTTTTGTTTGTTTGTTTGTTTGTTTCTTTTTTAAGAGATGGGTTCTTGCTATGTTGCCCAGATTGGTTTCAAACTCCTGGGCTCAAGTAGTCTTCCCACCTCAGCCTCCCAAAGTGCTGGGATTCCAAGTGTGATTCCAGTATTTCTATTGGACAGTGTTGCTCTAAACTTTAGGCATTGCTACAAAATTAATATTCTTGAAACATCACTTTCTTCCTGCCATTTCTATTTTTTACTAATTTATTTAAACCATGTCAACTATTTTAAAGGTTCTTAATAATTTGGTCACAACCTGTACATGCTGTTGTATTTTTCGTTCTTTTTCATTCCCCTCAGGCTGGTTTTCTGGATGCCCAAGAAACACATCATGTTCATTCTCATCATAATGCCTTTGTTCAGGTTGTACCTCCTACCTAAATTTGCTCTCACCTTCTTGTTCTCCTTATCACATTACATTCAAGCTGACCACTTCCATAAAGGATTTCATTTGTACCTTAACCTAGCATTCTGCCCTATATTATTATCTGTTGATTTTTACATGTGTTAAATCTCAGCCTTCCAACTGGACAAGAATGTCTTTGATGGCAATGCTTATGTCTGTACATTTTTGCAACCTCTGCCATACATGTACTGCAAGCATTTAGTTGCCTTCAGAGTATTCATATCATTGAATTGGGTCTTGAAAAATAAGTAACAGGTGGATAAATACAGGTCAGTGAGAAAAATGAAAGACAGTGATCGTAAGAAAGGATGAGTAATCCATGCAAGATTCCTGTCCTATTTCCAGTCTTCTTGAGGAACAATTAAGAGAATTATAGAAAAGATTTTAGAGCTGTAATGATTTTATTTTTGGACTTTTAAACAGAATTGTTTTCCCAAAGATGATAAAGTGGTGTCTTCTCAAAAGGTTTTTTTAATCTAGTGTCTTGTCATATTTGTCTCTAATCAGCTCCTTACTATGAAAATGATTATTGACACATTAAAAATAATTCTGGGCCAGGTGTGGCTCACACCTGTAATCCCAGCACTTTGGGAGGTCGAGGCAGGAAGGTTGCTTCAGGCCAGGAGTTCAAGACCAGCCTGGGCAACATAGCAAGACTCCTCCCCCATCTCTAACAAAGAATAATTAGCCAGGTGTGTTGGCATGTGCCTTTGGGAGGCTGAGGTGGGAAGGTTGCTTGAGCCCAGGAGTTTGAGGCTGCAGTGAAGTATGATCGTACTACTGCATTCCGGCCAGAGCAACAAAGTGAGTCCTTATCTCTAAAATTAAAAAAAAAAAAAAAGTCTTCAAATTCTGTCTATAATTTACTACGTTTAAAAGTTGTCTTACCCCATCTGAGTGTCTCAGTAGCAACACAAGAGCTTTTCCTTTGAGCATATCTCTTTTTTAAACACCTCTTTCTCTTTGCTCCTGAATGTAATTTTCAGAAATGTAAAAGAAGTACCCCTTATAGAATGAAAATCTTCTTAACTGATGAATTCAGACAAAAACTCCATTTGGCAGATGCACAAGATGTTCCAAATACTTCTGCTAGCTAAAATGAATGCAGTTTGCTCTCTGTGGTTTGAAGAGAAGCAGCAGTCTTTACTTTTCCAGCCAAATCCAGTAGCAGAATCATCTTCCACAACAAGGAATTAAAGTAATTAAAGTGCAAGTGCAATGATCGTTTTCACATTCTGCTTTTAGTAAATGTGACTCGCCGTAATTCGCCATAACTGGAGGCCTAGGCCTTGTTGAAGGCTTAATCAGGAAATGTGATGCAGAGATTGTGCTGCTATGCTTCATATTGTTGCCTTATGGGATTATACTTGAAATGCATTGTGCTAATGTTCTTGACGGGGTTGAGGGATTTCTCTTTCCCAAGCTCACCAAACTTATTCCAGTGTTGATCGCAAGCTGATGATGCACAGGCGTCTTGTGGCAGCCCAGCTTCAGTTTACGTTAGACAATCCGTATACACGTTGGTGTGTTTTCCAATGGCCAGTGATAAGAAATTAAATAAGTATTTGTGAGATTTGCTATTTTTTAATAAAGTAGTTGTTTTAAATTAATCTCTGTTGTCTGTTTTGAAGAAACCCATGTAGTCTTCAATCTGGGCGATACAAGGGTTCAGTCCTTACAAGTAAACTGTTTATAAAATTTGAGGTTCTAGAACTTCCTTGCAAATTCTGTACCTTGTGTACATTTAAATACTGGTGTGATGAAAGAATGTGAGCTTTAAAGTTACTTAGACCTTAATTTGAATCCCCGTTATGCCCCCGCTTAGCTTTGTGTTCATGCACGTTTACTCAGGTTGGGTTTTTTTTTTTTTTGTAATCTAGAAAATGAGGTCAGTAACCAAGTTGGTAGTGGTTATATGGGGAGTAAGTGAAAAAGGTGTATAGGATGCTTAGCACAGGCCGGGCACGGTGGCTCACGCCTGTAATACCAACACTTTGGGAGGCTGTGGCAGGTGGATCACTTGAGGTCAGGGGTTCAAGACCCAGCCTGGCCAACATGGTGAAACCCCACCTCTACTAAAAACACCTACACACAAATTAGCTGGACGTGGTGGTGGGCTCCTGTAATCCCAGCTACCAGGGAGCCTGAGACACAAGACTTGCTTGAACCCAGGAGGCAGAGGTTGCAGTGAGTCGAAATTGCGCTACTGCACTCTAGCCTGGGCAACAGAGCAACACTCTGTCTCAAAAAAAAAGAGAGAGAGAGATGTCTATCACAATAGCTGACACCAGCAATGCTCAGTAAACATTCATTTCATCACCTTTTAAAAACAGCTTTATTGAAACAATAATTCATGTCATAAAATATACCCCTTTAAAGTGTACAATTCAGTGATTGTTAGTAGATTCATAGAGTTATATACCTATCACTGTGATCTATCTAATTCTAGAACATTTTCATCACCCTAAAAAGAATCCCATTAACAGTCACTCCTTGTCCCCCAAGCCCCTCAGCGTTTGGCAGCCACTAACCTCCTTTCCAGCTCTCTGGATTTTCTATTCTAAACATTTTATATAAATGGAATCATACAATACGTGGCCTTTTGTGACTGGTTTCATTTACTTAGCATGATGTTTTCAAGGATTTAAGCTTCATCCATGTGATTGCATGTAGTTCATTTCTTTTTTTGGCTGAATCATACTCCATGGTATGGATAGAACACATTTTGCTTATTTATAGCTCGGTTACCTTTGTGTTGCAGAAGATGCTCATGCTTCTGTCTCCTTGTTTCCAGGCCACAGAAATAAGCACCTAATTGGGGGAGGGGAGGAGACAGACTTAATATTTTTCAAATTTTGATTTTAATAATTTTTGGCTTTCTGAATTCAGAGTATTTTGATCAGTTTATTTAATTGGTCTTTTTAATACCCCTTTTAAAAATTACAGCGTCACAGAGGAAACTTCATTTGGGTTGTGAGAATAGGGATTTAAGGGGAAAAAGTAGTACTCTACGGTCTGACAGGGCGAAAGGATACTTTGTCATGTGAAATTTTTCTTGGATTGGTCCTGAGATAGAGTAAAGCAAAAAGCTGGTTCCTGTGGGTTGTGACAGAGCAGTGGATTGACCTTGTTTATTCACTTGGTTCATTTGCCCTTTGTGTCACAGGGCCCCAGATGGGTCCCAGGTAGTGAAATATTAGCTTATCTAATTTGTATCCTTTCACACTCCTTAAACACATATCCAAGGCAACAGGAAAAAATGCGGTGCCTGTATTAGAATAAAATTTAGGGCCTGGTTTGGGGACAGGCACCAGTACTTTCAGCTATTCTGGCGGCTGAGGCAGGAGGATTGCTTGAGCCTAGGAGTTCTAGGCTATAGTGCATGATGATGATTTTACTGGCATACAGATGAAAAAGAAAAATGTATTTGAAATAAAAATAAAAATATAGTGCACAATGATGTTGCTATGCTGCCTAGGCTATAGTGCACTCCAGCCTAGGCAGCATAGCAAGATCCCATCTCTCATAAGAAACTTAACTAGAATGAAATTTTTTTTATTACATAGATGTTGCTTATTCATTGTAGAAAAAATCGAATTACAGATGATTTTTAAAACTACCAGAGCAAACCATTTAACCTATTTGTGTACATACTCCCAGATTTCTTAAACATGTTGCAAAAAAAAATAGATCGTACCATTCTGGTGGTTTTCTAAGCTGCTTTTTATACGTAATGTATTGTGAGCATCTTTTCATGGCCATAACTATTACATACAAAAGAAAAAAAAAACAGGCTTCACAATAAATACTTAAAAGACATTTTGACCAGAAACTAATGAGGAAGGGTTTTTTGGTTTTGTTTTTGCGATTTTGTTTTTGTACCTCCTGTATAATGCTGAACTTGGTAATTCTGCAGTAAATATTAACATTTTCTGAGAATCTGCTGAAGATGAACATAACAAAAAATAAGAAACTCCACTTTCCTCATCACACAGCCTTAATTAACATCGCTGGCTTTGTTTGAGATCAAGCAAACATTGGCTTCAGTGTCCGAGTCTCTTCTTGGGGTCCCACGGCCTTGGGTCTAGCACCTCTGCTGGACACCTCGTAGGGTTTCCGAGACGTGCCGCGACCCACGGGACCCCACGAAAGCTTTTTCCCACGGCAAGCTCCCTGGGGACGGGGAAAGGAGCCGGGACCCGAACCTAGCTGGCCTTGCGCTGCGACTGCGGAGAGAAGGGCGGGCGGCTCTGCACACTGCAGCTGGGGAGGTCCAGGTCGGCCGCTGGGGCGGGGTGGCGGCTCAGTGTTGTTGGGTCCCTATGGAGATGACCCTGTCCCTGCCCCACCCCTTTCCAGAGCTGCGGGCCGGAGAGGGCGCACTCGATTTTCACTGCACGGTTTCAAGAGGACACAGCCGCCACCATGCCGGGCCTCATGGCCACTTCCCAGAGGTAAAGCCCGTGGCTTCTGAGCCGCTCCTCTTTTTCTTGGGGCCGCCCGGGGCACATCGCCTGGGCCGGCTTAGTTTCCCAGTGCAGCCGCCCAGGAAGACCCTAAGCAGCGCTGAGGGGCGCAGGGCCCTCCCTCCGGGACCCTGGAGTCCCTTAGCAGCTTTGGAATTAACCAAGACTCTCAGGAGGCTCTGGGGAGGAACAAAATCCGCGCGTAGGGTAGGGTTTGCATGGGTCCATCGCAAATAAACTCTTACCTCCTCCAGAGAACTGATTTGGGATCGAAGTAAAGTTCTTGAGCACTTTGGAAAACGCTGATTTTCATAGGCCTTCTTCCTTCTGACAGTTCTTGCCCCCTTTCCTCCTATGGGGTCCAAAAATGTAGGCAGTAGGGTGGGGGCTGGGTTGGGGGAATGAAGGAGAAATACAAAAAATCTACTGTGAATACAGGTCGTGGTTATAAGGATAGCTCTCAGAGTTAATATGCTAAGATTTGACGAACAGGACAAATAAAACAGTGGTACTTTAAAATATTTACCGATTTAAAAATACCGATGCTGTGCTTATTAATAAACTTTGCATATGTATCAGAACAGAATATCCTGACATCATCAGTATTAAAGTTCACTGCAACCCATGCAATTGTATGCAAGCCCGCTACAGTCTGTTCTGCAGGAACTGACATTTGTGCTCCACAGAAACCTCAAAAATCATGCTCTAAAAACAATTATTTCAGTGGGAGGAAGAAGGGTTAAGGACTTGGAAGTTTTATAGCAACAGTTGCATCTTGTTTGTTACAGCGTGCTTTAATTTTATAGCTTTAAACTTATAAATCAGTGAGCACATCTACCATTTCAAAATACCAGCACAAGTATGGTATTTTCTGTCACCACCTGTACTATCAATAGCCCAAGTTTCCTCAAAACACGCCATTATTTTCATTATTCATTGCTTAGTGTGTACTTAATAAAAATTATATACTGGCATATATCTTTACATGCCCTAAATGTGGAACATTTAACTCAACTGGAATTGTCTTTCATTTCTGCTTTTTCACCAATCACACTTTTCTTCTACTCCCGTTTTTTTTGTGCAATCTTTAGAACCAGATAACCTTTTTGGAGGCATATTTAAGGAAGTAAATTTTTGATAATCAAATAAAGGAATCATTGCACAATTTGTATGTGTGAATTGCAGAAGTACGCGAATGTAGGTACATACCTCTGCCAGGGAGCAATGTTTTAATTTCTAAGCCACTCTGTCTACTGTAGTGGAGAAGGACCAGACTAACTTGCATTTCTCCACCTGTGTAACGGATCACCTGTGGAAACACAGTTAATTGACATCATGTGTGATCCCAGTGAGGATTTAGCTCTCTATATGGGCTGGCAATTGTTCAGCCGTTTCATCTTTTAATTGGGCTTTGATTTTTCTGAGAGGGGAAAAAAAAACAACAAAATCTCTCTTTTCTCTTTACTCTCACACACTCCATACTGCCCTTCACCTCGTGTCACCAAAATGTGTGGGAATTTCTTCCCACCGACAACTAATTCTCCAGTGGCCACCAACTCTACGTCCTATAATTTAACCCAGCTCTGTCACTGTTTACCTGGAGTTAGTGTCACATCCCACAGGTTAAGGGCTCAGTCCCAAAAGACTGTCCCCCACTTCAAATGCCAATCACAAGTCCCAGGTTGTGACTATATGTTGTTTATGATTAACCAACCAGTTACAAATCTGGGTTCCCACAAGCCCCTCCTCCGGTTTGATTACTTTGCTAGAGTGACTCACCGAATTCAAGGAAACACTTTACTTACTTATGTTTGCCCATTTACTATAGAGGATATTACAAAGGACACAGATGAATAGCCAGATGGAAGAGATGCCCAGAGAAAGGTATGTGGGCAAGGGTGTGGAACTTCCATGCCTTCTCAGCCCCTCCATATGTTCAGCTATCTCAAACATCCCTGAATCTTGATTTTAATGGAGGATTCATTCATAGGCACAATTGATGATATCATTGGCCATTTGGTCATCACTCAACTTGAGCCCTTTTCTCCTCCCCAGAGGTCACAGGATGGAGCTGAAAGTTCCAGCTGCATAATCACATGGTTGGTTTCCCTGGTAACCAGCCCTCATCCTAAAGCTATCTAGGGGTTCACCAAGATTCACTTCATCTGAACAAAAGATGTTCCTATCACCCAGGAAATTCCAAGGGATTTTGGAGCTCTGTGTCAGGAACTGGGGTCAAAAACCAAATATTAGAACAAAAGATTATCCTAGCATCCATATCGACAAGAGTTTTAGGAGCTCTATGTCAGGAACCAGGGACGAAGACCAATATATATATTTTTTATTATTCTACCATATCACAGGTTGTCACACAAAAAGCCCCATCCTTCTTTTGACTAAGCATAGAAGTGCCAATGTCAATTTCTGAGTTCCTCATCAATATACCTGTTGTAAAGGATAGTCAGCCACGACATAGAAATGTATTTCCAAATACATCCGTAGCAGTTGTTAAAGCAAACTAAATATGGCCTGAGATGGACTCTGTACTTTTATATTTGAATCCTTGTGGATGAATTGCCACCTAATTTAATAGGTAGACAGGAATGAAAACCTAACTTAGGAGTACGTGCTTGTAACAATCGCTGAGTCTTGGCCAATCCCAGGAGCCATACTTCAACCACTCATACACGGCTGAGTGTTCAAACTGTGTTCAAATAAGGCAACTGCTGAGCTATAACCAATCCAGCTGTTCCTGTACCTCATTTCTGATTTCTGTATATCACTTCACTTTTTTGTCTACAAATTTGTTCTGACCGCAAGGCACCGCTGGAGTCTCTCTGAATCTGCTGTGATTCTGGGAGCTGCCTGATTCGCGAATCGTTCATTGCTCAATTAAACACCTTTAAATTTAATTCAGCTGAAGTTTTTCTTTTAATACCATTTTATATTCAAGTTAAACTTACACTTCAGAACAAAAATCTAGTATAATTTTGAAACTTGATAGCCAATTACCACCTGTGTAACCTTGGATGATTTTCTGATTTTCTTTTATTTTTTCTGAGTCAGGGTCTCACTGTATTGCCCAGGCTGGAGTGCAGTGGCACAATCTTGGACCTTGGTTCACTGTAACCTCTGCCTCCTGGGCTCAAGCAGTCCTCCCACTCCAGCCTCCCAACTAGCTAGGACTACAGGCGAATGCCACCACACCTGGTTAATTTTTGTAGAGATGGGGCTTTGCCATATTGGCCAGGCTGATCTGGAACTCCTGAGCTCAAACAATCCACCCACTTTGGCCTCCCAAAATGCCTGGATTACAAGTGTAAGCCACTGCATGCCGACTGGATGATTTTCTCTACCATGTTCTTCTCTTCTATAATCTAACTCCCAGTGTGAATCTGAGGATTCAATGAGCCAGTGTACGGGGGAAGAGATTTTCTAGTGCTGTGCCAGCCAGTGTAGACACTCAAACAAAAATTAAGATGTTAAATACAATATTTACTACACATCCCCCTCCTCATTTTGATCTTGTTACTTAGCACGTTTGTTGGATCCAGTTACAAATGAGGAAAGACACAGATTGGGGTCTTCTGTTGTATTCCCTTCTTGCAACAGACTTTAGAATCATTTAGGCCCTTGCTTTACAGAGTGACGTAACAAAGGGGCCTCCAGTTTTGCATCACCCACACTGGAGTTTCAATTCGAAGTCAAAAGCTGGGCTGTGAGATGGCAGCCACAACATTCACTTTTCCAGTAGAGACATGCCACTTTGTAGAAGAAGAAGATCATTCTTAAATGATCAAGGAGGCCGGGTGCAGTGGCTCACGCCTGTGATCCCTTGGAGGCCGAGGCAGGCAGATCATGAGGTCAGGAGATCGAGACCATCCTGGCTAACACAGTGAAACCCCGTCTCTACTAAAAATACAAAAAATTAGCCAGGCGTGGTGGTGGGTCCCTGTAATCCCATCTACTTGGGAGGCTGAGGCAGGAGAATGGTGTGAACCCGGGAGGCGGAACTTGCAGTGAGCCGAGATCACGCCACTGCACTCCAACCTGGGTGACAGAGCGAGACTCTTGTCTCAAAAAAAAAAAAAAAAATCAAGAAAGAACTTCATGGCACAGTATTTTCACTTCTGTAGAAAAGACACACAAAAAGGATGAAAAAATGGTTGAGAGTTTGGTTTTATACACTAAGGTTTTGAACCTCCCTTGTATATAGAAGATACTGGTGACTGCTGTATTGTAAACAGAATGCACAATAAGTATTCTTGCCCCAGAATGAATTCTCACCTCAAATGAGTCCCTTAAAATGCTTCCATTTTTTCTAATTTGCTGATGTCATGGAAGAATAATCTGTCAAATCTATATTTAATTCAATTCTGAGCTTATTTTACCATATGACTTGTTAAACATAATGATGGAAATTGCTAGTAAGATCACAGACTTGATAAATTGTCACAGTTGTGACACAGTTGTCAAATCCTAATAGTGAAGGAATTTGTTTTTTTCTTACTAATAACTTGCTTTTTTATCCCCTGAATTTGGAAAATTAGCAGATGCATGTCTCTGTTTCTGCTGCTATAATAAAACCTGAGACTGGGTAATTTATAAGCAATAGGAATGTATTTCTCACAGTTCTGGAGGCTGCTAAATCCAAGGTCAAGGTGCTGTCAGGTCTGGTTGGCTGGTGAGGGCTGCTCTCTGCTTCCAAGAGGATGCCTTGTTGTTGCATTCTCCGCAGGGGAGGAATGTCTGCCCTCACATGGCAGAAGGTGGAAGGGCAAGTGAGGTGAACGCTGTGTGAAGCCTTATAAGGATCTGAATTCCAGCTCACAAGGGAAGGAGCCCTCATGACCTAGCTCGTAAAGGCCCATCCTTTTAATGTCATTACATTGGCCATTAAGGTTCAAAACCTGATATTTGGAGGTGACACATTCAAACCATAGCAGTTATGGTTGGAACTGCAATTATAGAACAATTATCCATTTATT